ACCGAATGTCAGTTATGATATATTGATAATGAAATTAAAATGATGCTTGCTAAAGTCCACAGTGGACCATGAGAGAGAATAGCTAACTCATTTTTATGCCTCTATGAACACCTCAATTCTCATAGCTAATTGCTTCTTTGTTTAATTAAGTCTTTCTGCCTTGATCAGATAATTATTTAGGTTCGTTGGTTTGATATTCAAGAGTTTTGAAGCCTATCTTCAAAAGATATAAACATTAATTTATGTTAATATGTTTATATTACTCTATAAATATTATTAATTTACTAAGGCAATATAGTCAAGGGAAAATGTTCTCCAGGTTTAAAATTCAGGAATATGTGTATATCATGTTGGTTCTCTGGAATTACAGGATAGCTACATAGCTGTGAATACATAAATGTAACCTGACTATATGGGATAAGAATGCTAAATAATAAACGTGCCAATCAGAAAAGGTCAAGATTAAACCAGAAATACTACAGAAAAGAAAATTGAAGATAAAAGTTTTGGCAGTCCAAGCATAGTCCTATGGAAAGAGGGCTTTGGCCATCAGCCTTCAAACACATTTAGCCCACTGGCAAAACCAGCCCTATGCTGAGATGAATAAAACAAGCTGTTAGCTTCTAGGCTTTAATAATGTGGGTCTGTTCTTTGACACACAGAGCATTTGTGTAGTGATGACAAAATTCATATATCAGGATCAGTAAATTTGCTGGCTAGATGTTGGATCATGAAAAATTTACCATGGAAGAGTTGCCAGTTTGTGAGGGTTTTAGGATATGGACTAGCTAACCTTTCTTTTCTAACAGTATTATTCCCATTGCTTCACCTGCTTTTATTTTCTGTGATTTTTTACAGAAAAAAAATATTGTTGACATTTATTCTGTCTTTAAATCTCCTATCCCTTTGGACCCTGCAGACTTTGTCAGCTTGGATTTCTATTCATGACAGACACAACTCTATCTGCCCAATGTGGATTTATCTCCTGAGTATTCGGCTCTTAATGATTTATTATTATATCTTTTAATCTTTTGTGAGGTATTAGATTTCCCAGTGGTAGATCTTATTTTTCTGCTGAATTTTCACTCTCTTCCTAGTAAGGGATTTACCCTGCCTTATTATGGACACATGGCATGCAGGGCCCTACAGTACTGACTTATTGATTTGGGTCTTGGCTACAGTACAAGCTGTAGCTAAAGGAATGTGAGAGAACATAGCATACAGAAATATCTGAGAAGGAACTTTAGGAGGCATCAGGAATTCCTGCCAGCTGTCTTTCTGAATGTCCCAAATAAGGCCAGCTCCCTGAGGCTGGAATCTAGAATGAGAAGACATGTGGAGCAGAATCACAGAACCTGACCCAGGCCACTGACATCTATCATGAGCAAGAAATAAATATGTGTTGTTGTAAGTCACTGTGATTTTGGGGGGGTCACTTGTTATTAATAAAGCTAACTAACAAAATTCATATGCTGGATTAGGATTATCAAAATGATATACTATAACAGCAAATGTGAATCCTTTTTAGATGATGTATCACATAAGAGTGAAGAATATACTGTTTAAGCAAAAATATTAAAATTAATACAAATAAGAAAAAAATCTTAAGTATGACAGCGTCTACCATCCAGAGTTACTAAAAAAAATGCTTTCTTTGTCTTTTGGTTATAATAATTTAAGGTTAAGTAACTTGTCTTCTCATCACTTAATGATCACTTCAGAGCATTTGAGAAGGGGTCTGTCTTTCTCCAACAAGTCCTCACAGGTGAAGGCTGTTCTTCTTTGACATGTTATATAAATCATGGCCAGTAATAGGAAAGATATCCTTTTTGGTTCCCCATTACATATACAAAACATCTCTCCATCTCCTTTGACACTTATGCCATCATTGGCATCCTCTTCTACCAACCCTCATGCTGTCATCTACAGACCACCTACTCACTCCCAGTAATTAAAGGCCTGCTCAACTCATGCAATTTATACTTACTCCTGTTGTCATTCTTGGTGATTTTCAAATAACTGTGTAAATTATCCATCCAAAACTCTAGTCTTTCTCTGCATTTTTTCTCATGTCTAGCAAAATTTGGTTTCATTTCAATCTAGTCTCCCATTCCCATAGAAATTCTATGTCTTGCACTGCCATTAACTTATTTTCCCCTGAAATCCAAGTTGCAAGTATCTCACTCTTTGAGTACTACCTCCCACCTTTTCAGCTAACTTTCTCCTATAGCCCCTTAAAATTATTTCATTGTATTGAAATTTCATCCCATTGAGTTGTAGACTTTATGCATCTGTGCCCTTCTGTTTTGACACCCTTTTTCCCATCTTAGATTTGGTAGCCCTTTCAACTCTTGTTAAATGCTGTCAACTCTCTCCCTCTGCCGTCTTGTCTGGCAAAACCTCAACCCTGGTTGAACTCAAGTATATACATTCTGTGTCTGAAACCTGTATAACTCAACTCAACTAGAAATAGTCGTATAACCATACTGACAGACATCTGCTTAAATTCATGAGCTCAGGCCTCAAATAGAGAAGTAGCATTGCCTAAAAATAACACTACATGTCCTAAATAAGTTTGTTTTCACAGACTTTGGTATAAATATTTCAGAAATTTGTTTTCCTCAAATACCTTCTTATATGGTATCTTCTATTTCCCTTAATTTATTATGCACGATATAATGACTGCCATTGCATTCTTTATTTTCTAACATTTCTGCCTAGCCATTTTCTACTTCTTGGCCTTTTGACTTGCTATTCTCTTAGCCTATAATGCTCTTAAACCAAGTTCTGTGTATTGCTATATTCCTCTTATTCTGCAAGTCTCATTTCAAATGTCATCTCCTCAGAGAGCCCTTGCCTGACCATCTTGTTCAAAGAACTCCTTTATTACCCTCTGTTACATTGCCCTGTTGACTCCTTCACACACTAATCACAGTATGTAATTATTCAATAAATATTTTGACTAGATTTCCAAAGATTCTACTCATCTCTTTAACCCCTTAACTGTAAGTTATGAGTAACTATCATGGGATTAGGTGGGTAGTTGAATACCAGTTGGAGTGGTAGTTTGACATGTCTTGTTGTGTTTGTTCTACCAGTTGTCATCAGAGAACTATATAAGGCTAGTTTTAATGCTTTCTATACATGACTTCATCTTCAAAGGGATCTCAGCAACCATGGACAAGAATCATCAACTGCCCAAACATCTCTGCTCACCTCAACAGAGCTATGACAGATATCTCTAATACCAAGGACACACATTCAAAATCTTCATAGGTTCTAGGTGAGTCTCCACAGGAATTCCATACATCATAAATGTTATAGTCATAATCCACTCACTTCTGAGAATTCTCTGTAAATTTACTACTCCTCTGTCAAAAAGATGCTAAGTGGATAAATCCAATCTACTTCCTTCTTCCTATCTCCATCTAAGACATGTGGTCAAAAGGTAAATAGTTTTACATTTAGGTCACACAAGAGGGGTAAAATCCCCAGATATTTTTGATCTTCCCAGTAGAATTCTAAAACACATTTCTTTATTTTTCTAATGATAGGATCACAACTGTAACTAACATAAGCTATCACAGTTTGCATAAGCTGCCTATTTGTGAGCATGTGGTTAGCCACAATGCCTCCGGTATCCATAGCTATTTACATAAAGTTTTCTGGTGGAATGTAGGGAAATACTATAGTGCTAATGCAGAAGACAGATCATTTATTTATATTGTGAGGCACAGGTCATGCGTGAATTAGACTCATTATTTTTCCTTTATTCCCACAGGTTTCCTCCAGTAAGTATCTTGATTCATTCTCCCAGAGCAACTTTCTCCTGCTGACAGGTTAGGCACTTCTAGACTTGGCATTCAAAATTTTAGTTAATAGGGGCTTTATTTAGTTACTTTACAAAAAAAGCTGAAATTATCCAAATTTTAATACATTAGACAGGTAAATCACGAAGTGTATATCTTCTAATAGAATTACTTACTTGAAGGGATGCAAAGTCAAATACCTGCAGGGGCCAAGAAGCTAAAGTATAAATAAATTTTAAAATTCTGGAATAAACACAAATTACAGAGATGAAACAGCTGCTACTTAACTCCCCCTAATTGTTATCATCAGAGTAGATGAATCTGGTATTAACAAGTCTTCTTATATTTTTGAAAATAAATTTGAAGTACTGACAACTAATTGTGTGTGTATGTGTGTGTGTGCATGTGTATGCATGTGTGTGTATTTTATTTCAATCCATTTTGCAGGAAAACAAAATGTCTTCTGCAGGCAATGTCGATCACCAGTTTACCAGTTAGTGATGACCTCAATATTATTTTTCTTTAAAATCTTCAAATGACAAACATTAAAAATCATTTAAAATGCTTCACAAAACTCAATTTACATAGGACTGTTCCATGTTATAACAGTATATGTATATCAAAGCAATATTTTCTAGAGATACTCACTGTAACTATTGTAACTATAAAAAGTTACATAGATATAGATATCTAGAAAGAGATAGATTTACAGAACTAATTTTTTAGCCATGAACAAGTTTTACTACTATTTCTCTTTTGCTTTTATTATGATGAATTGAAAATAATATAAAAGGAATGTGGGTTCCATTAAAGAAAACATTAAGTGGGTGATTAGATTGGGCAATTTAAGAAAATAAAGATAAGAGGGGAGAACAGAAATTGGTTAAATCAGATACAAGAGAGACTTTTATTGTTTATTTTTATTGTTTTTTAAAATTTATTTTTGGCTGTGTTGGGTCTTCGTTGCTGTACACAGGCTTTCTTTAGTTGCGGCGAGTGAGGGCGACTCTTCATTGTGGTGCGTGGGCTTCTTATTGCAGTGGCTTCTCTTGTTGTGGAGCATGGGCTCTAGGCATGCGGGCTTCAGTAGTTGTGGCTTGCGGGCTCTAGAGCGCAGCCTCAGTAGTTGCGGCGCGCAGGCTTAGTTGCTCCACGGCATGTGGGATCTTCCTGGACCAGGGCTTGAACCCGTGTCCCCTGCATCGGCAGTCGGATTCTTAACCACTGTGCCACCAGGGAAGCCCAAGAGAGACTTTTAGAAGGTACACAAAGATTGAAGAAATTACAAACCCCAAACAGTAAATTCCCTAGGTAGTGACACACACAATTGCCTATGAAGTGACCACTATTCAATAGCTGACCAGTTTGGAGTAATATTTAGCCTGATGGTTATTCTCTTCCTATGAGATAATTTCTCCCATCACTGTTAAGCACAGAAAAACAGCAAAAGGAGAACACAAAAAATATCACTAGGTAATAAGGTAGGGCATCTAGGACTTGCCAAAACATGTATGGGATAGTGTACCTGTTTATTTTAACATTTCAAGGGTGTGTGCAGTAGGAAATAAAACACCAAGAACTAGGACTATAGAACTGAAAGAGATAAGAGTTGATAAACAATTAAAATGTGGACTTGTGAGCAGCTGAAGTGCTTATTTCAGAATGAGGCATATTTAACTGGCAGGGGTTACAAGATGTCAGAGGACATTTCAAATGGATATTAAAAATTTTTAAATATTTGACTAACAGTATGTAAGAATTGTCTCTTCTAAGGACATTCATGTTTAAATAGAGATTAAGTATTAAATGCAAAGGATGATGTAAGTGATGTGGGTTAAATAATGGGGAAGAATTGAGAATGGCAATGATGGGATTTTTCCTGTTGTTCCAGAAATTATACTAGATTCATGATTATATCTTGTACCTAAAGTCAAAATCACCCTTCTGCTGTAAGCCTACGATATTTCGTTACTATGGATGAAAAAAAGAGTAACAAAAGGACAATGAACATACATACAGAAAAATATGTGAAGCTTTTATGAATATTTACATAGGCAAAATGAATTAATTTAGAATAAATTTTTAAAAACTAGATATTTTGTCCAGAAACAAATAAAGAGATTGAGTTGCCTGTTTGTGAACAGCTGAATTTTCTCATTAATATGCTTCTTGTTCTTCTTGATCATTGATTCATAGGTAAAAGGCTTTGTATGAATAATTCTCACTATATTGCTAGGTCATAAACAAGACCTTCAATCAGCTCATCTGTGATGGTTAATCTTATGTGCCAAGTTGATTAGGCCAGACACCCAGATATCTGATCAAACACCAGTCCAGATGTTGCTGTGAGGTGTTTTATAGATGAGAGTAACATTTAAATCAATAAACTATGAGTAAAGCAAATCTGGGCCTTAGCCAGTAAGCTTAAGACCTTAAGGAAAAACAGACAAAGGTTCCCCAAGAAAGAGGGATATCTACCCCCAGATGACCTCGGATGTGAGCTGCAACATCAACTCTTCCCTCTTCCCAAGTCTCCAGCCTGCTGGCTTATCCTGCAGAGTTAGAAATTGCCAGCCTCCACAATCATGTGACTGATTCCTTAAAATAAATCTCTTTATATCTGTAAATACACACATTCCATTGGTTCTTTTTCTCTCGAGATTCCTGACTACTACACCAACATTCCCATTATTAAAATGTCATGGGTACTAGCAAGGAACACGTGGAATTTGAAATGGAAAAAAACCATTTATATCAGCATTCAAAAAATGAAATACTTTGGTATAAATCTAACTAAACATGTACAAGATGTATATGAGGAAAACTATCAAATTCTGATGAAAGGAATCACAGAAAAACTAAATAAATGAAGAAATGATCCAGGTTCATGGATAGGAAGACTCAATATTGTCAAGATGTCAGTTCTTCCCAGCTTTTAACAGATCAACACAATTCCAATCAAAATCACAGCAAGTTACTTTGAGGATACTGACAAACCGATTCTAAAGTTTATATGGAAAGACAAAAAACCCAAAGTAGCCAGCACAATATTGAAGAAGAACAAAGTTGGAGGAGTGACACTACCAGACTTCAAGACTTACTATAAAGCTATAATACTCAAGACAATGTGACACTGGTGAAAGAATAGACAAATAGATCGATGGAACAAATAAAGTACCCAGAAACAGACCCATACAAGTGTATTCAACTGACCTTTGATAAAGGAGTAAAGCAAAAAAATTAAGAAAAAATAGTTATTTCAACAAATGATGCTGAAACACTAGACATCCACATGCAAATATACCTTAGGTATGTTCTTCACAAAAATTAACTCAAAATAGATAATAGACCTAAATGTAATTTGGGAAACTACAAAACTCCTAGAAGATGACACACAAGAAAATCTAGATGACCTTGGATTTGATGATGATTTTTTAGATATAGCATCAAAGGCATGATCAGTGTGAGAAATAGTTGATAAACTGGACTTAAACAAAATTTAAAACTTCTGCTCTGAAAGTCAAGAGAACGAACTGGAAGACAATATTGCAAAAGACATATGTGATAAAGGATTGTTATCTAAAATATACAAGGAACTCTTAAACCCAGCAATTAAAAAATGAAAAACCTAATTTAAAAATGAACAAACGATCTGGACATCTCACCAAAGAAGATATACAGATGGCAAATAAACATATTGTATGTCATCGGAGAAATGCAAATTAAAACAACAGTGAGATACCACTAAATGCTTATTAGATGGACAAAATTCAAACCACCAAAAACACTAAATGCGGGTAAAGATGTGGAGCAACACGAACTCTCATTCTTTGCTGATGAAATGAAAATAATACAGCCACCTGGAAATCACTTCAGGTTTCTTACAAAGCTAACCATAGTCTTACCATCAATCTTACCAGCAACAGCGCTCCTTGGTATTTACCCAAATGTTGAAAACATGCCCACACACAAACACAAAAGACTGCACGTTTATAGCAGCTTTATGATTGCCAAAACTTGGAAGCAACCAAGATGTCCTTCAGTAGGCCTTTGGATAAATAAACTGTGGTACATGCAGATAATGGAATATTCAGTGTTAAAAAGAAATGAGCTTTCAAGCCATGAAAAAATACGGAGGAATCTTTAAAGCATATTACTAAGTAAAAGAAGCCAATATGAAAGGGCTACATACTTTATCATTCCAACTATATGTCTTCTAGAAAAGGCAAACCTATAGGTACAGTAAAAAGATCAGTGGTTGCCTGGAACTGGCTGGGGAGGGGGGCATGAATAGCCAGAGCACAGAGGATTTTTAGGGCAGTGAAACTGCTCTGTATGATATGATAATGGTGGATATTATACCATCATTATATTGGTGGATATCATTGTACATTTGTCAAAGCCCATAGAATACACAATTCCAAGAGTGAACCCTATTGTAAACTACAGACGGTGGGTGACAATGATGCCACTTTCACTGTACTTTCACTGACTTTGACAAACGTCAGCTCCATGTTAGGCCCATAGTCCTACCCATCCTCCTTTCCTCAGGGCTAAACTTTTGTCTACTCACAGGGAATGCACCCAAGCCAGATGAGTTCCCTGTCAACTTTTACTCTTGCCTTCACCTGACATGAAAACTGGAAGAATGCCTTTTGCTGATGCAGTTGGTTAATGGTCATGAGACCTTGAGGGGAAGGAAAAACGCCTGGTTCCAGTTCCAGTTCGTGTGGATGTGCTTCTCACTTGGTAGTCAGATTCTGTTTTTAGCTTTGGCCCCTTTAAATCCCCCTGTACCCCTTTTGGTGGTGCTAAATGCAGCTACAATTGTCTCTGGATCATCTGTGTGGGGGATCCTTCCTGCCTGTATGTAAATTACCCACAATAAGCTTCATAGTTGCACTTTATGGAGTTGCCTGCTTTGTTTTTTGGTCTCAAAGTTCCTTTTCAGTTCCGAGGATATTATTAGATATCTCCACCTCCCAACTGGGTAAGTGTGTAACTTGCTTCTCAATATCACTGTAAACCTAAAACTGCTCTAAAAAATATCCTATTAAAAAATGTCATGGGCTATTAAAAACCCCACTATGAGATTGCAAGTGTCTATTCATTTCTTTCCAGCTGAAGTTGAGGGCACAGCCAGCAATTAAAACATGATTTACATTAAGTTAAAGGATAAAGTAGCATTTTAAAACCATCTGCCATTACTTGCATTATTTATTCAAAGGGTACTACTGTGTAATTGCAGATTTGTGCTGAATAAAGACAAATGTGTTCTCTTTATTGAAGAACTTACAGTCCAAAGATAGAATGGAAATTTAGGAACAACTTTAATTTTTCAGGATCATCAGAACAGGCATTCTAATGGAGGGAGGTAAGTCCAAAGACACTGCTGTGGGTAAGACTTTTTACCCAACATATATATTTATAGTTCTTGTACCTAATAGCATATTGAACCAGACTGTCCTCAGTTTGGCCATAGTGTTGGTCTATACGTATTTTTAAACTTGGCAAATTGTTATGGATGCATATTTCATGAATCTAATAATATCAAATAAATGACATTAAATTACACTCTCAAAACTTAATTGTTCAACTCTATGACATAAATCACAGCAAGATCCTTTTTGACCCACCTTCTAGAGAAATGGAAATTAAAACAAAAATAAACAAATGGGTGGGACCTAATGAAACTTAAAAGCTTTTGCACAGCAAAGGAAACTATAAACAAGACGAAAAGACAACCCTCAGAATGGGAGAAAATCTTTGTAAATGAAGCAACTGACAAAGGATTAATCTCCAAAATATACAAGCAGCTCATGCCGCTCAATATTAAAAAATCAAACAACCCAATCCAAAAATGGGCAGAAGAGCTAAATAGACATTTCTCCATAGAAGATATACAGATTGCCAACAAACACATGAAAGGATGCTCAGCATCACTAATCAGAGAAATGCAAATGAAAACTACAATGAGATATCACCTCACACCAGTCAGAATGGCCATCATCAAAAAATCTAGAAACAATAAATGCTGGAGAGGGTGTGGAGAAAAGGGAACCCTCTTGCATTGTTGGTGGGGATGTAAATTGATACAGCCACTATGGAGAACAGTATGGATGTTCCTTAAAAAACTAAAAACAGAACTACCATATGACCCAGCAATCCCACTACTGGGCATATACCCTGAGAAAACCATAATTCAAAAAGAGTCATGTACCACAATGTTCACTGCAGCTCTATTTACAATAGCCAGGACATGGAAGCAACCTCAGTGTCCATCAACAGATGAATGGATAAAGAAGATGTGGCACATATATACAATGGAATATTACTCAGCCATAAAAAGAAACGAAACTGAGTCATTTGCAGTGAGGTGGATGGACCTCGAGACTGTCATACAGAGTGAAGTAAGTCAGAAAGAGAAAAACAAATACCGTACGCTAACTCATGTATATGAACTCTAAAAAAAAAAAAAGTGGTTCTGAAGAACCTAGGAGCAGGACAGGAATAAAGACACAGACGTAGAGAATGGACTTGAGGACACAGGGAGGGGGAATGGTAAGCTGGGACGAAGTGAGAGAGTGGCATGGACATATATACACTACCAAAGGTAAAACAGGTAATGGGAAGCAGCCGCATGGCTCAGGGAGATCAGCTCGGTGCTTTGTGTCCACCTAGAGGGGTGGGATAGGGAGGGTGGGAGGGAGACGCAAGAGGGAGGAGAGATGGCGATAAATGTATATGTATAGCTGATTCACTTTGTTATACAGCAGAAACTAACACACCATTGTAAAATAATTATCTTCCAATAAAGATGTTAAAAAAAACTTAATTGTTCAAATATAGGAAGGGGAATCTCTTGAGTTCCACTGAACCATTATCAGTCATTCAGAAGTGTTCACCTCTATGTATCAATAAAATGTGCTATGCTTAACAAATTCAGAAGCAGCAGCATTATACAACTGGAGAGTTCTTTTTTTTTTTTTTCTAGGCATTTAAATCTGCCATGTATTCCTATAACTAGTTCTTGGTTTGCTTTAGTTTTGCTGTTGGTGGATTTGTTTTGTTTCATTTGGGCCATGTGAACCGTTTCGCCAAACTTATAGCTTAATACATGAATTAAACCCACTTTGCTCTTGAAGATTTTCATGTTGCAACTTTCCCATTAGAGAAGACAATTTGACATTGTGTAGCTTTAGATTATTATGATCACACTGAAGACTTATGTCCACTACTTTCCTTTCCCATTTCCTGTTCCAACAGTACTGATCTACCCCAAAGCTCCTGCATTTTATTCCTCTCTGTGTATACATACTCTTTCCTGTGCTTGCAGTGTTCTACCCTCCCTCTGCCTGGCTTACCCCTTAGCTTTGCAAACCCCAGTTTATGTGTGTCCTTTCCTAGGAAACTCACCTTCCTTGCTCCCCAAGACTTAAACACTCTATCTGCTTCCATCCAGTAGCTTACCCAGATACACGATATGTACTTCAAATGCTGCTGTTAGTTCATGGTGCCATATTGCAACTTATTTTTATTTATTTATTTTTCACAATCTGTCCCCCTCTGAGTGCGTGATCTTTCTGTCTGGTTAGATGCTGTATTTTATTCATCTCTATGTTCCCATGCCCACATGTATTTTCTGGCCCATAGTAATTGCTTAAGAAATGTTGGATGAATTTAATTAAGTGATACATATTACTCCATCAGCAGCAGCAGGTAATGTTTTATTTGAAATCCAGAATATATTTGTTTACTGCTTAAAAATCAAAAGTTAACCTAGAGAAGTTAGCATCCTAACCATGCATTGCCCACCCCCTCCGCACCCCAGTACCCTTTTCACTTAAATAAGAAGCTGTTTTATTCTTGCAGTTTCTGCTAATTGAGAAGGCAGTGTGATTGAGCTGCATTAATGCAAGTGGGATTTGCCTAGACATCAATAAACTCGAAACGCTCCCGGTAGGCCACTTGTAGTGTCAATAAATGTTCATAATTACTTGCTCCTTTGAGTATCTTAGACCCAACCTCCTATTCGCTCTGCTGTGAGCAGAGACCTGAGAGGTTCTTAACTTTCTACATCTTAGGGGAAGAATGGCAAACATTGCCAGGGCTCTCGGGTTTTCAAGCAAAGGTGTTGGCTGTTATCCTTGTTATTTTAAGCTGTCAAGGGACTGGAAATCGGAACAGCCACTCTTGCGCCCCTCCAGCAGAGGACTGGGGGTGAACCTCACCGTTTCTGGGTTTAGGAAGGTGTAAACCCCAGGGGCCAAGAGCGGATGACAGCTGGAGACACCGCTCAACCTGAAAGAACAAGAAAATGAATTGAGAGGCTCCGGGGGAAGGGGTGGAGGTGAAGAGTTTGGGACCCGCTCAAATAGATGGGGGAAATCCTGGCTTCCAGGCACTATGTCACCCGAGGAGTGGCTCCCGACCCACCTCCACCACCCCTCAGTAAAAGCCAAGCCAAGGCATGGTACAACCTGAGTTGCAAGCTTCTCTCTGGGTGAGGGCGGAGATCCAAGACTTGGAGAAGGTCTCTGAAGACTAGAACCTAGGACGGGAAAAGTGCCCCTGCCACACAATACAATAGAAGTAAAAACAAAGAGTAAAGGGGAGGAGAGGGTGAAAATCAGGCTAAATGCACATTACTAAGACTTTCAGAGAAAAGCTGGCTCTTCCATTTTTTTCCTTCTTTTCTTCCTCTCTTCCTTCATTTCTTTTCTCCTTCCTTCCTTCGTGTATGTGTGTGTGTGTGTGTTGTGTGTGTGTATAGGTGTACTTGCATTTGAAAAGGAGGTCCTACTTTTCTCAGAATCCTGTCTCTCAGCAGGGAAGTTCAAGTGGGATTGGAGTTTCCTTGACTCCTGCGTGAGGAGTTTCCAAATGGCAATGAACGAGTCACATAAATATCCATGAAGTTCCTAATGACACCTCTGTCATCAGTTGTTTCCTGCAGAATCCTGAGTCGGGGTCGTCATCCACCACCCACGCTGAGTGGGCGATCGGCTGATCTGCTCGCGTGTGTATTTGTACTTTCCGGATTGAGCGGTGCACGGAATATAAACTCCTTCCCTATCCCTCCCCGCATTCACTCCACTTAAGAGGGCGTGCGTTTGTGTGTGCGCGCGCGCGTGTGTGTGCGCGCGCGCGTGTGTGTATATTTAGCAAAGACGCTTGGAAGAAAGTACCCCTCTTACTACCCACCACCAGCTCTATCCGATAGAGCAGGCGTCTCCGATATGTCCCCAGCTGAGGTGTCCTCTCCACGCTGATGCGGACTATCTCGGTGCTTCCTTGTCCACAGAGCTAACGCTTTGGTGTCCCGAGAAGGCGACCTGACTTCTTAGTGCGCTGCTCTCTTCCCACGGTGTGCGAGCACTGGTGCGTGCGTGTGCGTGTGTGTACACGACTGTGAGCTTGTGAGCTTCCTCTCTGTGCACAGTTCAGGCAAGGCCGGCGACGTTACTCTCCAAGCAGCCGCCAGCGACGAAAGGCAACAGCAGCCTCCGCCCCTGAGTCCCGTGATTGGCTGGTTTTGTTCATCATTTCCATGCTAGGAAAAGGGAAGGGCCAGTGACGCCCCCGAACCCGGCTGCAGAAGCGGCCGCCACCTCCAATGTACAAGGTGTCTCTTCGGAAAAAAACCTGAGCCCCAGGGAGGCGGCGAGGAGCGACCGGGTTAGGGCTGGCGGGAACCGCGAGAGAGTGCGCTGGGCAGCGCTCGAGGACCAGCGGGAGCTTGGCCGCAGAGGACCCTCGAGACCTGCTTCTGAGATCCCAGCTCCACGCTCTCCTCCCATTTTACAGATCCTCCCCCCCTCCCCGCGACTACATCTCCCCAAAACGGAGCCTTTATATGAAAAGAAGGTGAGGGAGCTGGGGCAACCAGGACTTTCCCGGGCATCCAAGATGCGCTCCATTAGGAAGAGGTGGACGATCTGCACGATAAGTCTGCTCCTGATCTTTTATAAAACAAAAGAAATAGCAAGAACTGAGGAGCACCAGGAGACGCAACTCATCGGGTAAATGCAAAGCTTCATTTTAGGATATGATAAAAAGTCAAGCCATAAATGAAATGTGAATATAGACGACAGAGTGAGGGTTGGGGTAGTATTTGTGTTGGTGTCAGCTTGTGAGTGTTTAGTCTCGTGAATTAAATAACAAAGGCTGTTGTTGAGGTGTGTGTGATTCTCTACAGCGGGTTCTCAGTACGAGTTCAACTTGCCCTGTGCGGTGATAGTGACGGTTGTGTTGGTGCTGGGGCTCGCACGCCAAAGAAGTCACTGCAGAAGTGTCAACAAAGAATGGGTGCCCTTGTCCTTTTAGTCCCAGGGCAGAACTCAATCTAGATGTCTTTATTCACCATCTGGTTGCCCTTCCTTCTTTCTCTGCCCTATCACTCTAGGAAGGTACTAGAGAAAGCTGGCTTCCTGAAAGGCTGAAGTTAAAGCTCAGAAAGCAGGAAATGTGTCTCCTCTGTTTCTTTACAATTCTTTGTTGTCGGGTAGATCTGTGTATCATAATTTGATTAGAAACTCCAGGTCAACCAACTATACTTCCTTATTTGCTGTCCGTGGGTAAAACCCATGGGCGTCATGGTTACAGTTTTGGAAACTGGGTGCTGTAGCTTCACACAGACTATATTTCTGCTCTTTAGTTTGTCTAGATGAGTTCAGAATCTTCCTCCACCCCAGTAAGTTCTCTAAATATCACACTTCCTTCCTCCCTCCCCCCTGGCCTCTGTGTCTTTGAAGTTTACCCAGGAGGTGGTGGCAACTTTGTGTTGCTTACATAGCTTGGAAGCGTTTTCTGAGGATGTGAACCTGGTTGTCAACTCTGTTCAAAGTCCTGTTTCGGAAATCCTGCCTCATCCGGAGGCGTCTGCTATCGCTATCGGAAACTCCACACTGGCAGAGATGCCAGCCTGGTTTTTATTTTCCCTAAGATTTATGAAAACCAAGATAGAACCCTTGACGTTGGGGCGGGCGGGGTCGGGGGTGGGCGGTGGACAGGACTGCTAAAACGTGTGCGCGCGTGCACGCACACACAAACTTAATGCACTCCGTTACTTAATATTCCTGCTCCTCCCTAAGTAATGAGAATTTAAGTCAGCAAGACGCCGGCTTAAATTTACAGAAGAAATTGTTATTTTATAGAAAATTAACATAGAAGTACAGTCGAAAGGGACTGGAAGAGAATGAAAAAGCTAATAAGGGATGGGCTGGCTGATTGTTATTCATCAACAAATCTCTAAATGGTCTATGTTGGGGGGAAAAACGCCGAACTGTATGATGTTAACACAGGGAGTGGGGTGGGTTGAAAATTCAGCCTAGCTCGATTGTCAGAAAAGAAGGACTCTGGGCGGGGGTGTGGGCACCCCCGGTAGAGACCTGTGCTTCCCAGGCAGACAAAGGGGTCTTCAGGAAGGTGGTGAACCGGCGCGTGGGGGAGAGGCGGAGGCTGGGGCGTGGGGGTCGAGGCTCTTTGTTCCCTTCCCGGCTGGTGGGCTCCGAAGATATGCCTGAGCCCAGACAAAGCGGCCAAGCCTCGCCAGGACTCTGAGGTTCGGGCCCTTGGCTGGCAACCCTGGAGAGCGAGAGTGGGAGGGACGAGGCAGGCGAGAGGAGGCGCCACACGCCACCCAGGCGTCCTCTCCGGGCCTCCCTTAGCCGCCGGCAGGAAGGAGGAGCGTATCCCGAGTACTCCGGGTCAAATAACCGACCTGGGATGCGCCTCATTTCCCGGGCGACGTTCCTCTCGTGGCCTTTCCTGGACGCCGCCGGCCGGTGGGCGCTGCCCAGGGCGCCGAGGAGGAGTAGGAGGCGGGCGCAGGCAGGGGCGCGGCGGTCGGGCCAGCTGGGGGTGAGGGGATTCTCTTGCACCTTTTTCGGGCTGAGCCTGCTTTCCCTGCTCCTTCGAGATTGCGCGGGGCGGGCGCGGGTTCATCAAACAGAAGGAGAAGTGCGCGGCGGAGCAACTGCTGCTCCGCGAGAGCTGGCCGCGAGGGTGGAAGAATGAGTGAGGAGACGTGGAAGCCTTTACTGCAGGAATCAGGCCCCCTTTAAAAATAAAAATAATAATAATAACTGCTGCTCAGTCGGCAACCGGGCTCCTCCTTCCTAATTAAATCCCGCAATTACGGCCGTGCAGGGCGAGACAGCGCGCGTCTCCCGGTGCCCCGCAGCGTCGGGGCAGCCGCCGCCAGCTCTTCCCTGAGCCCTTGGGGTTGGCGCTGCCGGGGGCAACGTGAGGACAGCTAGTTCCCCCTGAGCGCTGTTTCGCTTTTCCCTCACATGAAACGTTCAGAGGAAAAGCTTGTGATACCAGCTTATAATTTCGTTTCAACTCCAGAATAGTGCTTCTGGTGGAGGAGTTGACTCATCAAACGGCCGCCTTCTCCTTGACTCTCTTTCTACCCAAGCCACGTGGAGGGACTCGTTTTGAGATGAGTAAACTAGAGTGGCGGTTTGGCCTCAGAACCCAGGCCAGTCGTCAGCAGTGAGGTAAACGGCAGTCCCTGACCTTTTGGGGGACACTGCGTGCCTTGCCAGTGGGCAGCGGATTCAATTCTTAGAACATCCTCCTAGATTCATATTTAGCTTCCCTGCTACCATTTTGCAATAGGCAGCAGTTTCTTTATCTATTCGACCTGCCTCCGTTTTAACACTGGAGGCCCCATCTAGAGTCAGTGTAACAAGGTTCTTGTATGCAATATGGAGCAGTCATTCCACAGAGAAGGAAAAAGAACAGCAGCCCAGCTTTCCTACCAACCATCCACATTCTCGTTTCTCCAGAGGAATACGAGCAGCATGTTTGTAATAAGGAATTATTGGAGAATAGGTCAAGTAATAATTGGACATTTAAAACTGTTTCCTTCGAAGCTAACCTATCAATTGCCTGGTCTGTTGACTAGTGAAGTTTAACTGAAAGGGCATTAGGGGTATGAAGTGGTCAATTCTTAATTGATATTTTTTTCTTAATGGGAAAAATGGCACTTGTCTCACAACTGGCCTGTAATTTTACTGGCTCTGTGTGCTCTTTGGTATAATTAGAAATATGTTAACTTAAGGGTCCTACAGGTAAAAATATGTGGGTATACGCATTTAATGAAATAATGTATTTGAAAGTGTAACAAACTTTAATACCAAATAGACATTTGCTTTGATTATTATTCCTTAAAACTTGCTACATACTGTTTCCCTGGGTGACTTTAAATGACACTTTAACTTACTTTTTTTTACTATCTACAGATTTCATTTTTAATTTGACTGTGTACTTTAGGTTCTCTCACTAGATGATCAGCAGTATTAGTTCTGAAACTTATGATAGAAGTGACAGTGGAGATAAGCATTCATACTTAGAGTATTATCACTGTTAGCAATGTTAGTTCCAGTTTGTTCTAGGGTGGAAACACACTCTTGTAACTCAGGAAACCAGAATCTGCATGTTACTTCATATGTTATATTTGGAATTCTACTAAAAGCCATAGGCTGTAAGTTAAGGTAGTACATCGCATCTTTATTTTTAGTTGTTTGGCACTCAGGGAATGAAAACACAGAATTGCCTGCTGTTTGTGTTCAGGCTTAATTTGATGCAAGTTCTTTTCATTTAAATGACTTAAATTTTTCTATTAAAGAGAAAGTTTAACCTAAGGGAACACATTCATTCCAAAGCCAAGTCAAGAAGAGCTTACAGTGGGGTTCATTGCAGGGCTTTTGGGGACCTAATTTCATGAACGAAAATTAATCTTGTGTGTTATGTACTTCAGAATTAATAGAATAAATTGTAGTGATGCCTGGCAACTCATATTTCAAAGAAAAATATTTGTAAAGACTAGTAATATAACTGCTGATTAGCTTCTGTCACTGGTATCGCACAGATGACCATCTAACTGGGTTTTTCTTAGCTCGATATAAGCAGGGATACTTTATAATATATACTGCTGTATTTCTTTTATATGTTGTGTAATTATCCCTTTAGAAGTATGTGTTGAATCTTCCTGTATACAGCCCCATCAGAGAAATGTTTTCAGTGCAGCTGTTTAGCACTCGTCTCTGATCTGGGATGAGAAACTAGTAGGGGGTGGCAACATCCTTCATGCCTTGCATTCACAGGAAGGAAAAGCCTATTCCAGACCGAGTACTACCAAGGTCACAAGCAGAAAAACCCCTTGGGACTCATTTAACCTTATACAAAGAAATTTGCTCCAGAGCCTCAGGTTGCTGGCAGCCTGGCCTTCTTTCTCACACATGAATTCCATTGACTTCAAGAAGTGTGACTAGTTGTAAGCTATTTTCATTCAAAATTCTTTCCAGTGGTAAAAGTCTGAAATTTGACTTATCACCAGTTCAAAGAGCAGAGTAATGTGGTAGCATTTCATTAACATAAAACTGATTTAAACTTTTAAAGCACTTTTTTTAAATCTTAGAGTTTCTGAAAAGCCTCCATACAATATCATAGAAATCATTCTGCCTTATAAAAAT